AGCCATGCCCATGGCCCACATTGGCAGTGGCTGGCATGGAGGAGACTGGCTGGTGCTGGTTGTGCTGGCACAGGAAAGTGAATCCTCCTCTTCCACATTCCCTTGCCTCTGCACTTCGGCCTCCCTGACTTTGTTCACCAGCACCTGCGTCCAGTTATCAAGGGTTTTGGGACTGCCAGTACACATGCTCCCCTTCACCCTCGGGTCACACATGCCCGCCATCATGTTGATCGTACTGGACCACAAGGGATCCAGCCGTCTCCTGATGCCCTCCTTCAGCCACCTTACCAGTGCCTGCACGTCCTGCCCCAGCCAGGAACATTGATCCCCTGGAACTTCTCCATTTGGTTCGCCCTAGTGAGGGAACTGGAGATCATCTGGCTAAGTGCTAAGGATCTCGGTGGCCTCGAGGAAGGGCTTGAGGACCAGCAAGATTTGGGAGATGGTACCCCACTCAGCTCTGTTCAGGGGGGTGCTGATCCCAATCCCCACAAGCAAGGCTATCCATACCTTTGGAGCATCGTGTATGTGGAGTTTCACCGAATCTCCACATCCTTTATGATTCTGTGCTGCGGGATGCACAGCTCTGCCTGTTTCTCCCGCAGCATCTTGACCCCCTTGATGCTGCGGTGGAAGTAGCCCACCACCTTCCTGCATTTTGAAATCAGTTGGCTTGTAGCAGTACTGGTGGCAGCACCATCACCGGCAGCCCTGTCCCCCTCCAAGGCATCCCTCACTATTAGGTGCAGCCTGTGTGCCACACAGCGGATGCCAACAAAGTTGGCATCATGGACTGCCTTCACCATATTGGCCCCATTGTCGGTGACCATGAACCCACGGGTGAGCTCAGCTTGCCCAATGAGCCACCCCTGCACCATGTGGTTCATGGCCCCCATGATCTCCCTTACCATGTGGGACTCATCCAGCACCTCGGCTTGCAGTAGAGTCCACTGACGGCCTAACTGAGAGCACCAGTGCCCTGTGAGGGAGAGGTAGGCATGATCTCCACCTCGGCTGCTCCAGATGTTGGAGGTGAAGTCCAAGGATACCTGCGGCCCTGCCTTGCACAGCTTCTCTCTCAAGTACTCCCTGCATGCCCGATACAGAGAGGGCACCACCACCCTGCTAAAGGTGGTGCGTGTGAGCACTTTGTAAAATGGAGCCAGAAGTGCTACGAACTGCCTGAACCCTGGCTGCTCAACTAGGAAGCTCTCACTGTCACCTTGCACTTCACCTACAGATGTCAGTCCCCTCCACCCCAATCCCCTCACCTCCTCCCACTCTCCCTCCCTCCCCCGTTCCCCCTCCCTCTTCTAATTGTCAAGCAAGCCATCCAAAGCAGGTCCAAAGCAGATCGGAAGTGCTTCGGATAACTCTACTGAGCCCGCACTTCGATCCGGGTGTGCCACTTTGGACGTGCCGCTCCAGGCGTGCCACTTCGATCCGGGCATGCCGAGATGTTTACTGCACAGCCCTGCTAATTAGCTGTGCAGTAAACATCTCGGCATCTACATGTGTGTCCCTATTAGGCTGGAGTAAACTAATTTACTTAGCAGCAGGATGGTACTTGTAAATACAAGTACCATCCTGCTGCAGAGTAAAAAACTCCACAAGAAAACACATGTAGATGCTGCCTGGCTGGTTTGGGCACAAGGGTGCTTTAGTTTAGAGGCTGCCTGCTGGCTAGCCACACACTGAAGCTCCCTCATGCCCCAGCCAGGCCCTCTGCAGCACATTGAACCAAGGGGGAAGCCCCTTATGGCCCCCTACCAGTCAGGGCTGCTGTGCCTGGGCTCCACATGCTGTGCCTGAACAAATTGTGGAACTTATTGTTCCCGAGTTAATTTCTTCCAGGCGCATTTTCAGATTGCATGCCCAGGAGGAATTACTTCGGAGCAATAAGCACCACAGTTTATTCAGATGCTATAATTGCAATTGTAGACATGCCCTCAGTTTCATATTTCAATTCCTGTGCCCTTGAGGGCCAAGTTTGAATTAGAAAAATTATTTAAAGAGGAAAATATCCTATCAATTGAAGTCGGGAGTTGGTAACTTATGGCTTGCAGACCTGATCCAGCCGGCAGAGTCAATGAATCCAGCCCACAGAGCTGGGAGGCTTCAGTGGCATTCTAGTGACAGGGGACTTTGTCCATGCCATGCTGTGCTTCATCTGACCAGCAAAGAGCTGTCTGGTGCTGCACACCATCTGGGTGGCAGGGAGAAGTGGTGGCGGCAGTGATACAGGCTGGATCCTAGCACCAGCCCACCTTAGACTCAAGCTGAAACATTTCAGCTCACCACAGGAAAACGTCACCAACCACTGCCTAGGACTAGGTTGTTATATGGCTTTCTTCACCATAATATATTGACAACCCCCAGTTCAATAGCAAACAAAACACTCTCCTTTTCCACTAGTAGCCTGAATATTTCTCCTTCTCTTCCTGTTAAGGTCTATAAAACACTTAAAAGTGAAATTTAAACATGTCACTTTAAAAAAAAAAAATCCACGTAGACCCACCTCTTGCCAATATCCCTTTAGGGAAAAAAGTGCTGGGAACTCGAACTTCTCGGTATCAGTGTAATCTGAAATTCTATGTTATATCTTACCTGCTGAAAGACTCTTGGCTTCTTCTTGATCTTCTCATAAAAAATCAGCACTTCTGATACATCTACACCTGATATTTTATGGGACGTTCCAAAATGTTTGTCTCTAGTAGAAAGGGAAAAAACAAGGATGCGAGAGGTTTCTTATTACAAGGCTAGCTTTGATGCATCTTAACACTCCCTGAATATGCAAGGAATATACCTTTGAGAAGCATTACTTTAATACCAGTTACTGTAGTTATATTCTATAACCCATGAAATTGTTACTCCCACACTTGACTGACATCCTATACTTGCTACCCTAAACTCTTGTTCAGTGTGGCATGCATCATTAATCAGTTGTTTCCCATGTTACCTCCCAAAACAATGATGGGTAAAGTAACATTTTGTTGAATGATTTTGGATCCTTTTGGATGTTAAATACTGTGAAAGCTTATTATCAGTGTCAGTATCCAAATTAACCAGTTTATTTTCCTTTTTGGATAAAATGTTTTTCTGATACCTATGGGCATGTTCAGATGAGCATGAACATGCAATTTGCAGCAGTGCAGGCCTGTTTCCAGTGCCGCAAATCACATGCACCACACATACAGGCACTCACTGCAGTTCTAATTAGCAGCATGGAGGGTTTTTATGACACCGAGATCACTCCAGCAGAAAAAAGTGGATAGGCACATGTGACAGCAGCGTACACTTCCTGAAACTAGAGCCTGGCTGGTTGGAGCCACACTCCAGCTGCTGGCAAGGCTACACATGCCTGGATCACTGCCACTGGAGCCCCAGGAGGCCCCCAAGACACCAGATAAGGCTGCTTGGGCCAGCCCAGGTGTTGACTCCAGCCTTCCTTATGTCACCCAGGGCAACGTATCCTGTCCCAGAGCGTGGGTGCATGGGCATTCCCTGGGGATAAGTAGCAGCAGCACAACTACGTACCACTGCTATCTGTCCCCGGGGAAATGTGCCTGCATGCTCATCTGGACACACCCTACATGGTGAATCTCAGCTCGGATCCTCTGCTCTCTCCATATAGTTAAATCATTGTTTACATCAATGAGAGTCAGATACACGCAAAGAGATCAGAACATTGGAGGAAGAGAGGAAAATTCTTGAGATCCTAAAGGCAAGATCCTAACTCCCTATGAAATACCAAAGTAAAAGGTTAGATTTTCAGAAGTGCTGAGCACATGTAATTTCTACTGATTTCAAGAAAAGCTGGCTTTTCAGCATCTTGAAAAAAATCAGGCTGATTATCTGAATACAGGCTTGTTATGTGGCTGAGGGGTCTGGGTGTTAGGCTGCTCACTGAAACAGTGCCCCTTGCTGGCTTCATATTTGTGGTTCTTATGGGGGACTTCAATCATAGGTGCTGACTTTGGTCTTTGCTGGTGGGTGCTTTAACCCTACCTATGGCCCTACTCACATCCACTACCTCACCATGAATCCTGATGCACTGGTCTAATTTTGCCTTCTTGTGCAGCCATATAACGTGCTTCTGCCACCTACTGGTACCAGCTTGTAAAATCTTGATTTCAGGGCAAAGTTCTTAACATAACAGAGATCTAACATGTACCATATAAAACCAAAATAGCCATGGCTCATGGATGCTAAGCACCCACTAATTTTTTTGGTGGTTGCTTGAGCCCTGGAACACCCATGGAGTCATTGCCTATTACTTTAATCATCCTCACATCTACTGATAGAGCGATACAGCAGTGCACAGGAAATCCAGGAAGCCTTTGGAGAGCATCGGAAACAACTTCCTGGGGCAAGTGTTAGAGAGACCAACTGGGGGATATGTTCTTCTTGAGCTGCTGCTCACAAACAGGGAAGAATTTGTGGGGGATGTAGAAATGGATGGCAATCTGGGCAGCAGTAATCATGAGATTATTTATTTCAGGATCCTGACAAAAAGGAACAAGAGTAGTGGAGTATGGACCTTGAGGGAGAAGAGTATAGACCCTGAGGGAGACCCTCAGGGAACTGATGGGCAGGATCCCCTAGGGTGCCAGTCTGAGGGGGAAAGGAGTCCAGGAGAGCTGGTTGTGTTTTAAAGAAACCGTACTGAGGGTGCAGGAACAAACCATTATGATAGGCAAGAAGAATAGCAAATATGACAGGCAACCAACTTGGTTCAGCACTAGCAAGTATGGCAGGTGACCAGCTTGGCTCAGCAGAGAATTCTTCAGTGAGCTTAAACACAAAAAGGAAGCTTATAAGAAGTGGAAGATTGGATCGATGAATAGGGAAGAATATAAGATATTATTGCTCAGGAATGCAGGGACAACATCAGGAAGCCTTACAATATAGTTAATTTCTGGCCAATTTATACACAGGTGATTTATTATTTTGTCTCCAAATTATTGCACTCTACCTTTTTTCCAAGAAGCTTCCATTGACACAAGCCACAGATGAAAAGATCAATCTAATATTCCTGTTGATTTAAAAGAAAAAAAAAAATGATCATTCCAACAAGAACAGTAGTGACAAGTTTTTGGTTTGACTCCATAAAGAAGATGCATACTAACTTAACTGTTGTAAAGAATATATAAAGACCACAACAGCTCATAATGCTTCTGAGGCTATAGATTCCTATTGGAAATCTATTGGTTTATCTTGTGAATCATGTTTATACACCTAACAGTGCATGGCACTCCATGGAATCCTTGAAAGAATCTTAAGGCAACCCAGGGTGCCATGGTACCTTGGTTGATTATCACTAGATTAAGCCAATGAGCATCTTGGTTGAATCTTCCTCTGGAATTTGCTGTCTTGACTCCCAGTTAAGTTGTTGGTGGTTTATATATATGCAGTAAGAAAAGAGTAAAACTGGGCAGCATGAGCACTCTCTGTACTTGTGAATGGGACAAATGCTAGAGTCCTTACTTATCAATGTGAGCTTTACCTGAGCAAAGCAATAAATAAGAAGAGATGGACAGAGCCTCCAAACAGCAAGCAAGTAATTGCTTAATTCTGCATCTGCCATATGCTTTGCACTGTTTCCTCTAAGATTTTTTTGAACAGAGAGAACTGTACTGGGGGAAAAAGTATTTTAAAAGTTCAGAGTTTATAGTATTAATGAGAAACAACACTAGGGTTCTGACTTACTTCTTTACATGTTCCCACTGCTGAGCTTCTGAACAAGAAATCCATTTGTCCAACTTTTCATTGTTCACCACAGCAATTCCATTCAGATTAATATATGGATCCTGTGTAAAATAGGGAAGAAATTTATAAGAGGATTAAGGTCCAATGGAGAAGACCTTTACATAAAGCCAGTCCTGCTTTTGGCAGGCTAACTACAAGCAAACAAATGGCATTCCCACTGAACAACCAGTAGGTGATACTACACATACAGAGAAATGATGGCATGACAAAAAGAGAGAGAGAAAGATTTTGCTTGTCAAGCATAATTTGGTCTGTGTAGAGATGGAGAGAGACGGGGAGAATTTTTTACTTTGGAAGAAAATTCTACTACGAGGCTGACTGAAAAGACCAGGCCCCTATTATATGGGAACGATGAGAAAGTAGAAGCCTGGGTCACAAACTATTTAGAAACATACCAAATACTTCATCTACCTTTTCCTTCAAGAACAGCACAATGCTTTGGTTTCCTCCTGCAATAATTTTAATCCCATTGCCTGAAGTACCATTCTCTGTGAAAGGATAAAAGAGAGAAGATAAGTAGAGGATCCATTCATTATCTTTTGAAAGTTCAGTGCAAGAACATGACATATAAAAAAAAAAAAAAAAAACAACGCTCAAAAGTTAGAAGCCAATCCTGAAAGTGCTCCTACAAGACAATTAGTTATGATGGTAAAGTAAGTGGTAAATATATCTGTGATGGAATCCACAAGCAGCAATGGGATATTGTATACTCAGCCTCTGCAAGAGTGCAGTGTGCAAAACTAACAGCCCTGTGCAAGTTCCCAGTTAGACTTTTATAATGTTATGGGCAAATTTGTGTTAGTTTATATTTAATATTAGAGTTGTGTTCCTGCACTGCTTTTATTGTGCTATAGGCCTTGTGTTTCTCACTTAGCATATATTTACTTGTTACTTACATTTTGACTCCATTGTTAGCAAAATCTAATGTATTTTTTCTGACTTAACTGAATGTGGTATTTTATTTCTAAGGCAACTTAAAAATGTTTAGATCTTTCCTTGTCAACACTTCCTATTTAAATAAAACATGCAAGATGTCTGGTCATTTCTCAGATGTCTGGAAGAGCTACAGACTTTAGAGAATGAACAATGACAGTGAAAACTGTTGCAGTGATCTCAAGAACTATCTAGGTTTTAGCAGATTCTGCTGTTCAAGAACTTAAAATTGAGTTTAGTACCTGAATAGATAGCTCTTTACTTGCTTGGTTTCAACTTCTCTAACATTACTAAACACCACCAGTGGCTCATAGGTAAAGTGAACAGGGTACGTTTAAATGCAAGTTTTAAAATATAATATATACTAATTTTAAATTTACTTAATTAAAAAAAAACCCACCTGCAGCACATCTAGCTGAATGGCAGTAGAAATAACAATGTGAGTAGTTCTTGAGTGAACTTTAAGGTGTGGTGCTCCTTTTAGAATTGCATTAGGCTAAAGCAAGGGTATGTGAGAGAATTCAATGGAGTCAATGGAACAAAAGCAAAAAAACAACTTGCAGTAGATTGTCCAAAGATGAATAATGGTGGATAAACTAAGTACAGAGATGTCAGATTTCTCAACACCTCTCAGAGGTCAGGCTGGGAGGTGAAGAAGACATTGAGCTAAGCAACTGCAGGAATGTTTTCCCATGTCATCAGGCAAAATGCACACCAACCAGAGAAAAAGAAGACTAGTTTTTCCTTTGGAAGAAAGGGTGACTACTCTGAGTTTGCCCAAAGTGAGGAAATTGGTAGTCGTCAGGCACTTGGACTTGGTCTGGGATTAAATATCCCACATAAACTCTCTTCCATTGTATTCTTCCTTGAATACAAGGTTCAACCATTTCAAAAGCTATTGACACTGTAGATGAAGCTCTTTCTCTGGAATCTCTTCTCTCAACCACTCATTTCTGTCTCATTATTAAATAAAATGTACTTTTTAACAAAAACAAACCACCCGAATCCCCAAACCCCCAAGCCTCCCTGCTTGGGATCCATAACCAAGAAATGCAACTTGCAAAGATCCAGTACGTAAATTACCCTGGTTGTGTTTTCTACCATTCTCCTCATTCAAAGGGAGTTTGAGGGGAAGTGGTATTAACTGAGATGACTTGTCCCCGTTTCCCAGCTGCCCTTCTTCTCTGGAACCAAATCCATAGATTTTTCCCAAGGAGGAGACATAGACGAGGGTGTGCCATCTGTTCAAAGAAAGAAACTAAATCAAATATGAAAGTGAAGTTGAGCTAGTTAGGATAACACTGGGTGCACCTACACGAGACGTTTATTGTGCAGTAGACTAATTAGCTGTGCAGTAAACGTTACATGTCTACATGTGCACCCCTGTTAGGCTGGAGTAGATACAATCACTATCCTGCCACGGAGTAATTTACTGTGCAACAGTGCACTTGTAGATCCTGATCTAGGAATAAATTCAGCTCAGCCTGCAGGGAGCCACACTCCTGCCAGTTGCAGGAGCCTTGTGGCACAGGCAACTCCTCTGCCATCCGACAGAACCACCCAGAACATGGGCTTGACCCCTGTGCCCCCTGCCAGCCCGGGGCTGACCTAGGGTTGCCAACTGTGTTTGAATCTATTCCGGGAGGCTTCTGAAAACCTACATGCTCAAAACACACAGTGCGAGCAATATTTTACAGTTAGGGTGGCCAAAATCTGGAACCAACTTCCCAGGGAAGTGGTCCTCGCCCCTACCTTGGGCAAATTCAAGAGGAGGTTGGATGATCACCTGTCTGGGGTCTTGTGAACCCAGCATTCATTCCTGCCTGTGGCAGGGGGTCAGGCTAGATGATCTGTTCAGATCCCTCCTGACCCTAGCTACTATGAAACTATGAGCATGCCCACATGCTTCCATATATCAGTTACAGATTACGGTGTGTAGACTTTATGTCAGGAAAGCAAATCCACATTACTATTACATTTTAAAAACCCACTGGATTACCATATAAATTGGATTCAACATTTAATATTTATTTTAATAAATGCCCTATCATTTATCTCCTGGTTGACTCTCAGCGGTCTCCGAGAGATTTATATTTAAGTCCTGGAGACTCCAGGGCAATCCTAGAGGGTTGGTAGCCCTAGGCTGACCCCAGAGCCCCCTGCTAGCCTGGGGCAGACCTGGAGCCCCTGCCAGACTCGGGCTGGCACCTGGGCAGCTGCAGCCAGAGCCTGGAGCTCCCCCTGGCTGCTGCAAGGAGGCAGAGCAGGGCAGGAGCAGCCCTGACCTAAACTGCTTTTCCCCAACATAATCTGCTCCTGACCTGGACGCACATGTAGACACTGTGCCTGGAAGTAGTTTACTACAGAGCAATTTGCTCTGCAGTTTATTCATGTGCATTATTAGTGCATGTAGACATGCGTGCTGACAGCTACATTTCGAGGGATTCACCTGTCTGATTCCCCATTAAAGATATAAGGAATCAGGTTACAGCACGTCTGTAATCAAATCCAGAAGGTACTGCCTAAAATGAACATGAGGAAATAAAGAACAACATGTGCCTCTTCAGTTTAAGAGAATACAGTCCATTGCTTCTCCATTGTTCTTTATTGCTTGCAATCTACTCTGCTTCTAATTTTGAAAATAAAGTGTTCTGCCTTGGATTTATTTTCTCATCTGTTTCCATCTGATAAGCAAAAATAGGGGTTATGAATGTAGTCCATATGTGGAAAATGAATGATATTTTTAGCAGCTGCTATCCACTAGAGTCAAGGCATCTGAACAATGTGTCTCAGAGATTTCTTTTTCCAACATCCTTCCATGTTTCCCATAAGCATCTCGTTGCTGTTTTCAACCTTAGAGGAAGTGGTGGTTTCTTACCTTCCGCATGCAATCTGAGACACTTGTGCTCCAAAAAGTTCAGCCACAAGTCGAGGGGTCAGCTCATTCCTGGTGGAGTTGTGACCAAGCTGTCCATGCCCTCCTGCTCCAAAGGTACACACCAATCCATCCTTGGAGAGGCACAAACAAACATCAGAGGCATGGAGCCCCAAAAGAGAAGCACATGCTAAGAAAGGCATCAAAACAGTAATTGACAGAGAGAGGCCAGATCCTGAAAATGCATATGTGATTTTTTAACATCACTCATGTAAATAGTCCCACATTGATCCATGTAACACATAACATGCTATAACTTTACGTGATGAGTATAAGTGAAACACCACAAATGCAAAGCCTGATCCTGTATTTCTTGTACATGCGATTAACTTTAGCCCAGAGAGTATTCTTACTGCTTCAAGGATTTTATCCCTGTGAGTAAACATAGTAAACAAGTTGCTATTCTGATTCATTGAAGCCATTCATAAGCCATCAAAGAGTAAAAGATATTACGGCAGCACTGGGTGCATCTACGTAAGATGTTTACTGCACAGTTAACTAATTAGCTGCATATTAAACATCTTGGCATCTACATGTGTGCCACTATTAGGCTGGAGCAAACTAATTTACTCCACAGAAGGATAGTATTTGTAAATACTTGTACTATTTACAAGTACTATCCTGCTGTGATGTAAAAACTCTGCAGCAGCATGTGTAGATACTGCCCAGCTGTCTGAGGCATGAGGGTGCTCAGTGTGGGGCTGCCTGCTGGTTTTACGCAGCACATTGCGCCTGGTGGAGTAGCCCCGGACTGGTAGGCTGACCCCTGGACCCCTACCAGCTGGAGCTGCTCTGCCCAGGCTCCATGCTTTACCTGGATAAACAGTGGAACTTATTGCTCCATAGTTAATTGCTTCTGGGTGCACATTCAAATAGTGCACCCAGGAGCAATTCACTTGGGAGCAATAAGCTCCACAGTTTATTTAGGTGCCATAACAGCACATGTAGACTCACCCACTGGACAATGTGGTATGGTGACGTAGTGCCGGCGATCACGAACCATGATGCTTCATCTACATCTCTGTAGTGACGTGCTTTCCCATTAAAGCATGTTGCTACGGCAATGTAGCAGTGGAAAAAAATCCAAGCTGCCAGCATGGTGCAGTACGGGCTGTTACTGTGCCATCATTTAGGCCTTCCAAAAGGAAGCCCTAAATGATGGTGGAGTAATAATGGCACCATACAGCCATGTGTAGACTCACCCATTGAGTACTTAATTGCATGTTATTAACTTTGCCCCAGACCCTGTATACCTGGATTTAAAGTTCCATCTTCTGTCATCCACCACTGAATGAGAACAAAACCCTGCACACAGTGTGCAAGATTTTGAGTAACTGTAATCTTGCAAAATTCACTTAGCAACTCTTACAGGCCATCTTCAAAACCCCCATGAAAGAAAGGAGTGCCATCCCATGGCACAAATACTAAAGTCTAGCAGCTAATACCTTATTTCTTTGAAAACAAGATCCACTTTTTAAAATGTCTTCTAAAAATGGTGTGTATCTGCTGCTAAAAAAAAAAGTTAAAAGCTTGTATATCACCATAAAAAATTGTATTTGTATATATGCCTCTTTATTTGATGCTTGCCTTCTTTCTTATATTGTGTCACAATATTTGCACATGCACAATTTGTACAATTTACTGTTCTTGAAGGAATATGGCATGTCATTTTTCCTGGGCTGAGTGGAACTGAACGAATTCAAATTCAGACAAACCTTTGAGAGAACAGCAGAGTGCTCACCCCCACATGAGACAAACACAGTCTTCTTATGTTCTAGGGCTGTAATATACTCAGGGAAAGCCACGTCTAGAAAGAAAACAAACAGGCAATATAGATTGACAGGGTTGCTATGAGGAAGTATAGCTATGTCTTACGCAAGTAAAGCTTTAGAAAAGGACTTTCAACCATCTTGGCTATTGCTCTTTTTTAATAGCATTTTTCTTGAAATATAGCTTGTTGTTCACAAGGTGTACACCCTGACTAAGAAGATGAAGTGCTCCGTCCTACCCTTTGAGCTGTTTTGCCCATATATTCGTGGTAGAACTGAGACTAAAATGTGGGCCAATACTCTCACATTTGGGCACCAAAGCAGGCTCCAAAAATCTATACTTAGGATGTGTATACACAAGACACTAATTGCACAATAGCCGAATAATATCGTGCAGTAGTGCATCACAGCACAAAGTGCTAATACACTACTGCACAGTATTATTAGACTATTGTGCAGTAGCATTACTAAAAAAGTGTTCACTAGCACTACTGTACAATAACTCTGGTAACTGAGCATTTATTTAGTACTTGATTATACAAGTACTAAATAGATGTGCAGTAACCACTGTGCAGTATCATCTCATGCAGATGTGCCCTCAGACACCTACATTTCTGGCCTAATTTTCAAAGGTGCTAAGCACCTGCAGTTCCCATTGACTTTGGTGGGGTTTTGTGGGTATTGAGTACCTCTGGAAAAAAAAAAAAATCAGGTCACATATATTGTATTGTTCTGATTAGAAAGCTATTTATTTTTCCTGCCAAAAGAAGCATTAACCCCCACACTCCATATCAGACTTATACACAGGATTAACCTATAATCGAACCCCATACAGTCCTGATTTCCATACTTGCAATATACTTGTGCATGCCATAAAAATACTGTCAAAAACTTTTAAAGCAGTTTTTATTCTAGTATTTTTAGTGCATTTAACTCCTTAGGCCCTCTCATTGGTTAATTGATTCTCTCATGGGATTTTGTAAGGGCAATAGCAGTTCAAGGTCTTTATCTGTAGTTATCAATTTATATTTAGGGAAAAATCATTTTTTCTTAAAATTGAAACAGAAAACACACAGTTGGCTTATAATATGAATAACATGATACTCAATTAACCCAGCTTTCTGTGTTCGCATTGGAATGGGGTGGTTGGTCTTTAGTTTTCCTTTCACTTTATATTTACAGATAGCTAGCCTAGGACTTAGTTTTCCTGGCTGACCCTTCAAAGTGATATCCATTATTCTGTGCCATTATCATTATTGTCTTGTCTGGACTACATAGCCGGGGTACTGAAAGGTGGCATGTTATGGAACAGAAAATTAAAGGAGGATGAGTAGCATAACATGGACTTCCTCAAGCTACAGGCCTGACGGCTTCATGAGCTCACATGACCAACTGCCGAATGATTCATTTTCCCTTCCAGAGCTGAACATCAAACTCTTCCTTGCATCTTCAGGAACTGACCTAGACTAACTAGTACATGAACAAAAGTCAGTGGGGGTTGCAGTTTCCAGGTATAATTGCTCTGCTAGTGTTTCATATTCCTAGCTAGGTTGGCAAAATCTTACTTAAAAGCTGTTGTGAATCTTTCCTTACCTTTTGTGTACCCCAGTCCCAGCTGTCCAAAACTGTTCTTTCCCCATGAGTAGACAGCCCCTGACAGGGATAGGACAAGACAGTGAGCTCCTCCTGCAGCAATCTGAGCTACAGGGATGCCCTGGAGGTCCTTCACCAGCTGTGGCATCTTGGTGAATGTGATCTGGCTTCCGACTCCGAGCTGGCCATGGGAATTCTTTCCCCAGGTAAAGAGCTCACCTCCTTCACACAAAAAAACATGAGTACACCTCAGTTTCAAAGATAAAGTTTTCCATCTATTGAAACGCCAAGTGCGTGAGCATGTATCCAGAGCCCACATAAGACATGACAATGGGATAACCTAGCTCCCAGACCCACCAGGTGCCAACAGTGAATTTAGCTTTGGCACCTGATGGGTCCAGCCTCCCCTTTCTTCATGTCATGACCTTCCATCAAGACCTGTCAACAATCAAATGATATCACCATGTAGGGACAAGATATCAGGTTGCAAAGAAGCACCAGCAATAAATTCAGGACTAGCTGGATTTTGATTCTGAAAATCAAAAACTATACCCTACATGTTGTGATGAATAGAAATTTCCCTGATCCTCAATGCTTTGTAACACAGTTCAACCAGAGATGAAAGCAATCATCATAGAAATTGATCACCCCCATTTTACATATATGGAAAGAGAAAGTAATTTACTCAATGGCACAAGCTAGATACAGTCAAAAAGCCCAAGGCTGAATCGATTCAATCTTTGGTTCAGTCTACGCAGCTTAGACTAACCTACAAGCACCAAGTGAACAGATACTGGAAATGCAGCCACATGCCTGTAGGGGGCCAAGCCAGAAGCCAGGGGACACTAAAACACACCTCCATGCTGGCTGGAGCAGACAGCTTGGGCCCAGGCTAGCCCACCCCCGCTGCAATATGTGGTTTGAGGAGGAGGTGCAAAGCATGCTGGGATGCTGGGGGGACTGTGTGGTAACTTGAATCTGAAGGGGATCTGGGACAGAAGTTCAATAAACTGGTTTAACCTAAATCAGTTAAGTCTGATACTACATCCATCCAGGTTTAACTTAAACAAGTCTTGGTTATTTGGACTTGGTTATAAGTGGTTTATGTGCACTGAACTTCTATTGTGTTACAGATTTGAACCGGTTTCCAATCACTTATAGTGATTTATGTGTAATTTCTGTCCCTACCCATAGAGTGGCAGGGTTGGGAATAAAACCAGGAACTCCTAACTTCTAGCCTGATGCTCAATCTATAAAACAAGCTGTCTTTTGCTGTCTCTTAAAGATCCAATCCTGTAATCTTTGCTCAAGCAAAAGCTTCTGACATTGCTTTGTTAGAAACAGAGTGAGCAGAATTCAGAATAAGAGGCATAGGCGACTGGTAGGGGATGCACGGGGGTGCACATGCCCTTCCTGAAGGGGCCGGTGCCCCCTGACGGCCAACACTGATGCTGTTGGTATCTGCCATCGGCGGCTTCTGTGGGTGCCTCCCCAGATTCAGGAGGCACCAGTCACTCATGACAAGAGGCCTCTCATACTTTCAGGGGCAGGAATAAATGACAGGAAGAAATCTAGTGAGAGGTGGTAAAACAATAACCTCATCTCATTGGAAAACATTGTCTCATGTCATTCATAGGAAACCAGCATGTGCAGTTAGAGAACAGCACAACCTGAGATACACGGATTAATACATTCATGTCAAAATGGGTGAAGTGTAGCTGTCTTAGACCCTTATATAGCCCCGTTACAACTGTACCATATTCACTTATTTATTTATTGATGCAACACCTCCAGAAGGTACAATATCTGCATTTCACAAATGAGGAACCTGCTGACAAAAGCTTAGCAACTTAAAAGGTATTTGGCCATTTATTACCCACTGATTTTTATGATAATCAGATGGGCAAATACCTTTAAATATCTGGTCCTGAACTTAGGTCTCCCAAATTCTACTCTAATAATCTAATCACTACACCATCTTCTCTATCCAAAACCTGTAAACAGTTTCTCATTTAGTGATCACCATGCCATGATTTTGTCCTTACCTAATGGTGATACTTAAAGGGCTTGCTTTTGAGGACAGGGCTGCAATAATGTGACTTATTTTAGAGAATGCACTAAGGAAGGAGCTTACCTTTAGACAGTGCCATAGAATGATGGTCTCCACATGCAATCTGAACAATAGGCTTGTTTCCTAAATCTTCCAAAAGTCTGAGAGGGAAAAAAAAGTACAGAGAGTACTATGAATCCAATATAAAGGACCCTGGTCTTAATTCCACAGGAGCCAGCCCAAGGATCCAACTTGTAACCTTTTCTATGTTTTTCAGCTCATCTAGCCAGAGCTACCGGGAAAATATGGCCTAATTCTAACATTCCCCACTCTTCTTTTGCATATTGTTGTAGTCCAACTGAGCTGACTCCAATTTGCACCAGTGTATATAAAAGGAGGCCCAGATCTTTAACTATATAAACTTTAGCTTGGGCACAGTTACAGACAGTGGTATTATAGTTATAGGCCTCCTGTAGCTCAGTCAAGAACACAGTTCAACAAGAGGAGATGCTTTATATGGCCTCAGTTGCTGGCCTCTCAGTTGTCCCACTGAAAGAAATCTGACTATTCACAGACTAGGACTCCCATATTCTCTACTACTCAGTATGAGAGAATACAGTGCTTTGATAATACATGTGATTCAGTGCTTGAATGGTCCTCAAAATGCCCCATTTCTTTCTGGATTAAAAAGAAATGTTGTAGGCTCCAAAGGGGATTCTTCCCTATTCCCTCCTTTATGATAGAAACACCTCTCAGGCTACCATACTTTTCCTGCCAGTTTTACAAAAAATAAGCCAACCTTGCTTGTAACCAGAGCTGTCCCCAGTGCACTAACATACAGGAATTAACACTGGCTGGGCATTAATGATGTTGATCGGGGTGCTCAATCTCTAATCTACAGACAAGATGTGGTCCTGGGTGCTGTGTCATCCATCCCGTGGGATTCCCCATGGCTCCAGAAGTTTGGTGGCAGGGGAGTAATAGTGCTGCTCCCCTGCTGCCAAATCGGTGAGCCCACAGGAAGCCCTGGGCCCTGTGCACTGGATCTGGCGCCCAATCCCAGTGTGCAGAGCCAGGTGGGGGCAGTGCTGTCCCAGGAGCCAATCCCAATGTGGAGGCCTCGGGGGGGAGGGAGGTGCTGGGCTCCAGGGCCCAATACTGGCATGTGGAGGGCGAGGTGGGGAAGTGTTGGGTCCTTAAGACCCATTCCTGGTTTGCAGGGTGGCAGGGGAGCAGGGGACAGTGTCAGGCCCCAGAGCATATTATGGCCTGTAGAGGGGCTCTGTGAGCACCACTGTTACAGACAAAGCTTCTCCTAAAATACTCTGTTGTTTTCAAAGTCCCTTAGGCAGAAGGGGAACACACCTGAAAATAATCCAGTGCTTCATTCTCTGCCACTATGTGTCCTTGTCTCTACAACTGCTCCGCTCTCACACCCTACCCCAAGAGGCAACTGTGAGGGGCTCCTCCCCTCATAGATTCATAGATGTTAGGGTCGGAAGGGACCTCAATAGATCATCGAGTCCGACCCCCTGCATAGGCAGGAAAGAGT